GGGGAGGCGGTGGTGGGGAAGAGACAGAAATCTTTAATAAAAAAATAAAAAATAAAAAAAAGAAAGTACAAGAATTTACAGAACACCAAATAGACTGGATCAAAAAAAAGTCCCCTAGCCATATAATAATCAAAACTCAAAACACACAGAATAAAGAAAGATTTTTAAGATCTGCAAAGGAAATGGGTCAAGTAACATATAAAGGTAGATCTATCAAAATTATACTTGAATTATTAGTGGAAACCATGAAATACAGGAGGTCCTGGGCAGATGTGCTGCAGACACTAAGAGACTACAAATGCAAGCCCAGATGACTATCCACAGCAAAGCTTTCAATTACATTGATGGAGAAAACAAGCTATTCTAATGACAAAAATAGACTTAAACAATATGTATCACAAACCCATCCCTATAGAAAGCACTAGAAGGAAAACATCAACCCAAGGAAGCTAACAGCACCCACACAAAAACAGATAACATCTCACCAACAAAATCCAAAGAAAGGAAACACACAAACACTACTACCAAAAATTATCAATAAGAAGTTTTTTGCTTCATAAACAATTGAATTGCTACTACTGAGGTACAATCCAGTCCGTAGCTGAATGAACAATACATAGATAGACAGACAGATAGATAGATGCTAGATACAATATATCTGATAGAAAGAATAATTATAGGTAAGTGGTGGATATGATTGGAACACAAGAATTATATTTTGTTTAATTTGGAAAAGTATCCTAAGAGTTAATATGAAAACTAAATTATAATATTTGTGTAATCTTTTTTTACTTAAGTCTATAGTTTAATACATTGTGTTAATTGAATTTTTACTTTTTATTATTTATAGTATTTCATGTAGTTGTTTGTTTCTGTCGGGGGGGTGGGGGGGTGGGTTGGTGGGTGTGCATGTCACTGATTGCCTTCCATGACTCATGTGCATCTTCAAGCCCACAGCATGGCACCATCAGAACTCATTAGAACTCTCTTTGATCTATCGGGACATTGCCTTCTCACATTATGTGAATTTCTTTCTGCCTTTATCTTTCAGTGAAATATTGCATTTAAATCCCTATGGAAGCATTCTGAGCAAAGTCTTTTCTTGTACCATAATGAAATATTCATAGAATTCAGGAATTTTGATCACCATTATAGAGCCTATAAGAAACTAATAAGTAAACAAGAAGACAAGACACAGACTTAGAGCAAATGATTATCGATTATATTTATTAAAAGAACTGTAAGGAGATATTAGAGAATTTTGAAAATGCAATAATAATTGTCATTATAAAATGCAATATGGATGAGCATTGGAATGAATTTTCATGAAAATACTGAAGGGCAATATGTTATACAATAGTAAGTATTTTGTCTTGCAATAGTATTGCAAATTTAGTTGCATTTCATACTATTGCAGTAAGAATAGTAACAATTAAAAGAGTAACTCTTCTGAGGTTAAGAGCATGTAATGAGCATTACAGTATTTTTTTTATCTTGTAATAAAATTCAGTATTATAGGAGGAATGATTTTTTAACTGAAATCTCTTCTTTTCTCACACATTATATACCAACCATATTTTTCACCTGCCAGTCCTCCTAACTTTCCCTACATACCTCAGCTCTCCCAAAAATCCACTCACCTGCTTCCTCTTCAGAAAGGAGCAGGCCTTAAAGAGACTATCAGCAAAACTGCAAAAGAAAATGGAGATAAAATAAGACAAGGCAAAAACCCTCATATCAAGGTTGAACAGCACATATAAATACAATAAAAAGAGTTTCAAAAGCATGCAAAAGATTCAAAGACACACTCACTCCTACTGATAGGAGTCCCATTAAAAAAAAAAAACAAGCTAGACAACCACAATATATTTACAAAGGTGCAGGGGCAGACTCATGCCACCCTCATGATTGCCTCTGCAGTCACTTTGAGTACATATGAGTCTGTTTAACCTCCATTTCCTCTGACTCCTGTAGTCTTTCCTTGCCTAGGTGTTCCTATATGGACAAGTGGAAGGAATCAGTGCAGACTACCACTTTAGACTCTGCTTCATAAGGTCTGGATATTGGACTCCGTATCTGCTCCCCCATGTTTCAGGAAGAAATCCCTCTAATTGTTATTGGATCAGTGGACAAGACATCGATCTATGAACATAACAGGATATAATTTCTTTTTTTCTCCTTTTGCAAGTAATGTGTTTACTTCTACATTTTTTTTCAGGCTATTCAAGGCTCTAGTTCCTTGAATTCCAGAGTATATGTGGTGTGGGATTCTCTACTAGCAGTGTCCTTAAGTTAAACCAACCTTTGTTTGGTCATTGATTCCCACAAGATCTGTATCATCGTTGTCATCACTGCACACAGAGCATCTTGCAGCCAGGTCAGATTGTAAATCTATAGTTTCATAACTAGGTTGGAGTACTAGTTTGTCTTTAAAAATATTTTGTGTGTGTGTGAGAGAATGTGTGGTTCATGTGTGTAGTGTGTATGTACACTTTTTATGCTAGAACAGAAAGTTAGAATATGACTATTAGTGGCCTGCCTTTTCACTCTCCATATATTCTCTTTAGATAGATATCTCAATGAACCTGAGCCAAGTCTGGTGGACAGAAATCCTTAGGATTCTTCTTGTCTCTACCACCTATTACACCCCAATCTTTTTCACAGGTGGTTGGAATTTAAAATCAAGTACTTATGATTTGATAACAAAAATTTTATCTACTGTGCTGTCACTTCATCCTTAAATAAATTAATTTATGATGCAAATAGTATTTCAAAATTTTTATACTGAGCATATAAAACTTGATGAAAGCAATGTAGATTGTATATGTACATTTACATGTAAATTTTGAATGTTTAAAAAGAAAAATATATAATACCAGATATTGTCAATTTTATAGTAACAGGTAGTTAAAATATTACCACTTTAGAATTCAAAATATAGCAATGCATATCTGAACAAATTGTTTATTATTAGTATGTGGTGTAAAAAGTTTACAATAGTTGTATCTGAATTGTGAAATGTTTCTTTGTATACTCTCTGATATGTTTAAAGTTTTCTAAAGTTTCCATGTTTTTCAGGAGAATGGTAAAAACTTTTCAAATAATTGTCCACTTGTGACTGAAGATGATGGCATCTGTCATTAGTGCTGGACTGAAAAGCACTCCAGGCAGAATCCAAGCAAAAAAGAAAACTTATAACAATTAGTTACATCAATAAAATACCTGCTAAGAGGAGCATCTCTGCTCTGCATTTGCAATCCTGCTTATATTTCACATTCCTGTGAATATATTAGAATAAACTCCAGAATATGTTATGTAAGGAAAACATGAGAATCTGGTATTTCAATATGTTTAAGTTTATCCCCAAATGTATATAGGCCTATTTGTATTTATTAATTAGGTTCCAGAATATAATATACATTTCATGATATTTATGGCTGTAAGTGAGATGGAATTTAGATTTTTAAAATATTATGCAGAATATTAAATAATATTAAAACACCATAAATGTTAAATATTAAAAAATATAAAAGCATCATAAAAACATTATATAAAAACCACATTTTATCCAATATTCTATCATGCAGAAAAAAACTATGTCCAGAAATTTTGAATATCTGATCAAATAAATACTATTAAGTATTTATTTGTAAATGTGTAAAAGCCATTCTTGTGTTTTCTTGGATGGAAAAATTAAAAAGACAGTATTTAATAATGTGACACTTCCAGCTGATATTTTGTGTTTTTTACACTGAATAAAATTCTATAAGTTTTATTTTATCCTCTAGACCATTCTTAAAGAAGACATGGAAAAGTATTTCCTGTTACCTCACATAGGACAGTTTTTAAATACTGAGAATGAAGTCTTGAAAGAAAAGAAAAGTCAGAATGATGGATGTGGTGGGGATATGAAAAAAAAGCTGAAACTGGTGAAAGTAGGAGGAATAAATATAGAAACTCAATCCTACTTGTGATTTCTTAAAAATCAAGAGAAACTTGGCAGTATCACAGAATGGCACTGTAATACAGCCCTTAAATGACCATAAAAGAAAATGGAGAAACTGTGTTGGAATGAGCTCTTGTTCATAAGAGGGAAACAGTGTCTCTGTACTCTGAATTGTCATTGCTCACACATCATCTTCAGATCCTAAAATATCCATTAAACAGAACAAGAGGGTGGATGAGCTATCTATGTCTTATTTTAACTACTCATGTGTATAATAAGCCATGCAGGGTCATAATTGCTTCATTAGGGTTGTGATGCCTTTTTTGACATTGCATCCCATCCATTAACTGTATGTGTGATGTCATAGATCATAATGGGACTCATAGTGCCATCCATTCTTAGTGTGTAATTTACTCCCTCAATGCTTGTTCAGTGAGGATGAACTGGAAGAATGAGCAGTGAATTTGAGGCACTACACATGGTCAATTTTGATGGTGAAAAATATGTCTAAAATTGCAACACAGAATCCAGTGGATATAACATACAATGAAACAGTCTAATTTTCTTAAATCTCTCTCATTTTTCTCGCCTTCTACAAGCTCTCAAAACACATATCTCCCTTAATATATCACATTTACACATCTGTAAGGATAAATAAGATTGGCATAACAATTGAACAGAAAGCATTTAAAGATAAAATTAATACCATTCATCCATTAAGTCTGGTCCATGGAAATACTTTGTAAGATGAATGAAAGAGAAAATAAGAACAAATAATACATTTATTTTAAAGGAGAAATTTTATTTACATTCTGAAAGGAATTGATAAAATACTATGACTTTTTATGATATAGGGAATGTTGTCTGAATTAGGAAAATGACTTTAATCAGGAACATATAAAATTTACAGCTGCATCTATGAGGCATGAACATACAAAACCACACATAGAGACACACAGACACATACACACTAATGAGGAGACACTATCTTGCTAGTTGGGAATAGAATAAGATAGGGTAACTGAGGTGAATATGATCAGAACACACACATATGTGTGTGTG